GGTCTCGCATCGGCCAATAACAATGTGCTTCGCTCCTTGGCTCACTTCTTCTGGAAGAAACCTTACTTTAACCAACACGATGTCAAAAATGACATTTAATCTTTCTTCGACAAGAGGTCATCTATGGTACTGTACAAAAGAGGTTTAAGAGGCTACACGCTTGCGTAGAGAACAGGGTGAATATCAGTCGAGGATTGCTCAAGCTTATCGAGGATTTTCGCCTGACCACTTACGCTCTCCCGCGCCGACATTCGCACTCGCCATACGCGAGGTGTTTGAGCTCCCACGCGTACGTTTCCTCGACCGTTATTCACCGGTAGAGTTGCTTGGACTACTTGCCAGAAAAAAAAATACTTCGTAAACAGACGGAGTATCGCAGAAATTCTGACCGACCGAGTACAATTTCAGCGTTGTCATAGCTCATGTTCCAAATATGAGTGAAGGGAAATGAACTTATATACATATTATATAAGTACCTGTTTTATGTTCTCAAATCGTTCGTCGAGAAGTCGCACGCTCGCCTGCACAACTCGCCAGATGATGTAGTTCACGAGTATCTCACTATCGGTATTCTTGATGAGTTCCGATGCCTGAAATGGTCGATAAACACTCTTAGAAAACATTACCACAAAAAAGGCAGCCGTTATGCGTTATACAGTAGCGGTCAAAAGTGTTCGCCGAAGCGATTCACAGTACATTTATTTTTTCTCGCTTGAGCAACGTCCTCCAAAGATTGATATACTATGTTTTCTAGTGTTTTTATATCCTCAAGCCCTTGAAAGAATCAGAATATTCAAAGAAAAATTTTTCGAGGTCACCATTATTTTTTTCTGGCAAAAAAAAAGAGAAGCACGAAAAACCGTTTCGGCGAACACTTTTGACCGCTACTGTATGTATGTCTTCGGTTAATTTTTTCATTAACAGCTTCTGCTCGTTAAGTAATTTCATCATAGGTGACGAGATATATTCTTTTGCATCGAATAAGATAGAAGTATTAGTTTCGAAACGTTAAAAGTTGAGAATAAAGGAAAAAGTGCTGGCTTCATACGGTAACGTGACGCGCAAGCGCGTTACGTTGCCGTCAGTGCGTTGAGAGAAGAAAATGTTATCCACAATTGCTGAGTATAACTGACCTTTCTAAGGAACTCAATCTCAGCGACTATAATTTCAGTGTCATTGTTGAACATTTTGATCATTTCTGATGGAGCGATTTGTTGGAAGTATGCCACCCAATCGATCTAAAACAGCTATAATTTTCAGTATTCCGAGATTTTCACTAACAATCTGTGGTTATACAGGGTGGTCCAAAATTATGAGGACCAAGACATTGTGTCGTTAAAAACGCATAGTAGCTTGATGGAACAAACCAACTTCTGGGAAGTATTTGTAACTCTTACCTCAAAGTAATTCCAGAATAGAATTGAGATCTGCCACTTCCCCGTTAACACGAGCCTTCGGATGAGGGGGATGGCGCGTGCGGTGGCACGCAACTAAGGCGTGTCCAAATGTTTCCAGGCCTTCTGCTCTGCCTTCTTCAGGGAATCAAACTTTTGTGTTGCATTTATTTGCGCTTGCATCCAGGGTGTGAAATACAGAAATAGAGCTATTAGGTGGATGGTTCCATTGTAACAATTCTTCGAAAGCAACGAACTCGAAAAATCGCTTTTTGGAGGATTTTTGCTTTATTCTTGGGTGCTCGGTCCTGTAAGAAGTCCCAAGTAGACTACTCGTGTGGCTTTCTATCCACTACAGATGTGGAGTCTTTAGAGTGTCTGGCTGGGTTTTCACATCAATTTTTTCATTTTGGGTGTACGAAAGTCGACAAGGGGAGACCTAGTTTCTGCATCTGATAATTATCCTGGTGGTAACTGTAACTTTCGAGTCCCCGAATTTTCCATCTGTGGTGATTCCAAAACTTACACTGCGTTCAATAATGATACAGCCACCTAAAATTTGTTCGAAAACTTAAAGTTCATAGAGTTTCTGAAAAACTCCAGAGAAATGTGACAAATTTCATGGCGAGTTCAGATATCAACACAAAAATCCATGTCGAAAACACTAAAAATTTTGTGCTTATTTTTTCAGAAGAGGTCGATTTTCCTATGTTCAAAAATGATACAGCCACCCCGTGTTTCTTCGTTGAAATTCATTTTTGCTTCATGAAACTGATTCGCAGTTATCAGGCTTTCACCTTAATGTTCCCACAAGATAAAAAAGACAGTTGGATTTTGAAAAAGGGTAAACTGTAGCAAAAAAGGACCAGGAATCGTCAAGCAGTCATATTGCGCAAAAATTGAGTCAAAGCTCCAATACGGTTAACAATCTTTTCTGGAATCCTGTAGGTTATGGAACAAAAAGAGCTCTGGATGTTCATCATTGCTTTTTGGTCAATTTAAACTTCGCATTTTGGGGAAACATTTCAATTTCATCGAACAGTGCCCGGAATTCCAGTCTTCTTTCAGAATTAAACTTTCAATGGATATTGTTTGGGATGTGTTGAAGATTTCCGAGGTCATTCTTCAATGGAGAATTAAAGAAACCTTGTTTGTGAAAAGAAATTCTCTCGAAAACTGAGACATTTTTTGCTCGAAAGTGTAGCCACGTCCACTGGAGCAAGATCAGTTCTTTTGTCGTTATGCCTTACTTTCTGTCTGCGTTTCTCTCAATGTTTTTCGCTTCATAGGAGTCTAATGAAAGGAAAAACCCTTAATGAGGAAGGAAAAACTCGAAAGAAAGTAAACAGAAAGTAAGACACAACAGACAAAAGAACTGATCTTGCTCCAGTGGACGTGGCTACACTTTCGAGCAAAAAATGTCTCAGTTTTCGAGAGAATTTCTTTTCACAAACAAGGTTTCTTTGAATTCTCCATTGAAGAATGACCTCGGAAATCTTCAACACATCCCAAACAATATCCATTGAAAGTTTAATTCTGAAAGAAGACTGGAATTCCGGGCACTGTTCGATGAAATTGAAATGTTTCCCCAAAATGCGAAGTTTAAATTGACCAAAAAGCAATGATGAACATCCA